CTTGACTTAACCTGAGTTTTTGCGTCATAACTTCACAACCAATGAAATCACAACTCCTACGTCATAACCTCACAACCAATGAAATCGCTTAAGACGCAACCCTCTCCTACGCCATAACCTCACAACCAATGAAATCACTTAAGACACAACTCATCCTCCTACGTCATAACCTCACAACCAATGAAATCGCTTAAGACGCAACCTCTCCTACGCCATAACCTCACAACCAATGAAATCGCTTAAGACGCAATCCTCTCCTACGTCATAACCTCACAACCAATGGAAATCCTTAAAGACGTAACCCTCTCCTACGTCATAACCTCACAAATGAAATCACTTAAGACGCAACCCTCTCCACGCCATAACCTCACAACCAATGAAATCGCTTAAAACAGATCATCTCTACGTCATAACCGCACAACCAATGAAATCACTTAAGACGCAACCCTCTCCTACGCCATAACCTCACAACCAGTGAAAATCGCAAACACCAATCCTCTCCTACGTCATAACCGCACAACCAATGAAATCACTTAAGACGCAACCCTCTCCTACGTCATAACCTCACAACCAATGAAATTACTTAAACCTTTTCTATCGTTATAACCTCACAACCAATGAAATCACTTAAGACACAACCCTCTCCTACGTCATAACCTCACAACCAATGAAATCACTTACGTCATAACTTCGCAGCCAATAGATAATCCACTCGTTATGACCGGAGAGCCAATAAAATAAGAGAAGCTGACTGGACTTACAGGATCACGTACTAACGGCCAATCAGAGCGCTAAGGCGTAATTTTAATATTCTGCGTCATAATGATGTTAGCCAATGAGATCACTGTCATTTATTATTATTATTATTATTGTTATTAGTGTTATAATTATTACTATTTATTGTAATTATTTTTGTGATAATCGTTATTAGTACTATAATTAGTTATTAATAATAATATTATTATAATTATTGTGATTAATATTATTACTATTGTCATTATTACTATTATTAAAATTATCATTATTATTATTATTTTTAGTATTATTATTATTATTACTATTATCATTATTACTATTATTATTATTACTATTATTATTATTATTACTATTATTATTATTACTATTATTATTACTATTATTATTACTATTATTATTTTTCATATTAGTGATATATCATTATTACTCATATTATTTATTATTTTTATAATAATAATATTAATATATTATAATATTATTTTTATCATTATTATTATTATTATTTTATTATTATTATTAAAATTATTATTATTATTTTATTACTATTATTATTATTACTATTATTATTATTTTTATTATTATTATGTTATTATTTTATTACTATTATTATTATATTATTTATTATTATTACTATTATTATTTATTATTATTATTATTATTATTACTATTATTATTATTACTATTATTAGTATTGTATATCATTATTACTCTTATTATTGTTATTATTTTAAATAATAATAATATTATTATATTTATAATATTATTTTTATCATTATTATTATTATTATTTTATTATTATTATTAAATTATTATTATTATTTATTACTATTATTATTATTACTTATTATTATTTTTATTATTATTATTATTATTATTATTATTATTATTATTACTATTATTATTATTATTATTATTTTTATTACTATTATCATTATTATATATTATTATTATTATTATTATTATTATTATTATTACTATTACTATTATTATTATTATTATTTTTTTACTATTATTATTATTACTATTATTATTATTATTATTACTATTATTATTATTATAATTTTTATTACTATTATCATTATTTTTATTATTATTATTATTATTATTACTCTTGGTGTTATTATCACAGTTATCATTATTATTATTATTATTATTATTATATTGGTGTTATTATCACAGTTATCATTATTATTATTATTATTATTATTACTCTTGATTGTTATTATCACAGTTATCATTATTATTATTATTATTATTATTACTCTTGGTGTTATTACCACAGTTATCATCATTATATTTATTCCTTGTCTCTGCAACACACTACAGTAGCCAACAATGTTATTGTTCTCTGTTGTTATTTATTGGATGTATAAACCACCAAGCTGCTGTAACGCTGTATTAACGGAGGTGAGGAATACAGCGGCTGTCTTGGCGGGTACAGTGGCTGTCTTGGCGGTACAGCGGCTGTCTTGGAGGTCAGCAGCGGTCTTGACGGGTACAGCTGCTGCGTTGGTGGGTACTGCTGCTGTGTTGGCGGTACAGCAGCGGTCTTGGCAGGTACAGCAGCTGTCTTGGCGGTACAGCGGCTGTCTTGGCGGATACAGCAGCTGTCTTGGCAGGTACAGCGCTGTCTTGGAGATACAGCAGCGGTCTTGACGGCGTACAGCTGCTGTGTTGGCGGGTACAACGGCTGTGTTGGCGGGCATGCAGTGTGACGGGTACAGCGGCTGTGGCGGGTACAGCAGTGTGACGGGTACAGCTGCTGTGTTGGCGGTACATGGCTGTGTTGGCGGGTACAGCAGCGGTCTTGACGGGTACAGCGGCTGTGTTGGCGGGTACAGCGGAGATCTTGACTACAGCAGCTGTCTTGGGTACAGCGGCTGTCTTGGCAATGCAACGCTGTCTTGGCGGGTACAGCTGCTGTCTTGGCGGGTACATCGGCTTTCTTGGCGGTTACAGTAGCTGTCTTGGCGGGTACAGCAGCTGTCTTGGCGGGTACAGCAGCTGTCTTGACAGGCGGCTGTCTTGGCGAGTATTCACTGTCTTGGAGGTTACAGTAGCTGTCTTGGCGGGTACAGCAGCTGTCTTGGCGGGTACAGCGGCTGTCTTGGCGGGTACATCGCTTTCTTGGCGGTTACAGTAGCTGTCTGCGGGTACAGCCTGTCTTGGCGGGTACAGCGGCTGTGGCGGGTACAGCGGCTGTCTTGGCGAGATACAGCGTGCTGTCTTGGCGGGTACATCGGCTTTCTTGGCGGTTACAGTAGCTGTCTTGGCGGGTACAGCAGCTGTTCTGGCGGGTACAGCTGCTGTCTTGGTGGGTACAGCGGCTGTCTTGGCGGTTACAGTAGCTGTCTTGGCAGTACAGTAGCTGTCTTGCGAGTACAGCGGCTGTGGCGGTTGGTAGCTGTCTTGGCGGGGACTGGCGGCTGTCTTGGCGGTTACAGTAGCTGTCTTGGCGGGTAGCGACTATCTTGGTGGGTACTGCGGCTATCTTGGCGGTACAGTGGCTGTCTTGGCGGGTACAGCTGCTGTCTTGGCGGGTACAGCGGCTGTCTTGGCGGGTACGGCGGCGATCTTGGCGGGTACAGCGGCTGTCTTGGCGGGTACGGCGGCGATCTTGGCGGGTACGGCGGCTGTCTTGGCGGGTCAGCGGCTGTCTTGGCGGGTACAGCGGCTGTCTTGGCAGGTACAGGGGCTGTGGCGGGTACAGCGGTCTTGGCGGGTACAGCGGCTTGTCTTGGCGGGTACAGCTGCTGGTGTTGGCGGGCACAGCAGCGGTCTTGACGGAATAGCGGCTGTCTTGGCGGGTACCGCGGCGTCTTGGCGGTACAGCGGCTGTCTTGGCGGGTACAGCGGCGGTCTTGGGTGGGTACAGCGGCTGTCTTGGCGGGTACAGGGGCTGTCTTGGCGGGTACAGCAGTCTTGGTACAGGTGGTCTTTGCTGATGGCAGGAGTCATTGCCGGTGCAGCAGCGGTCTTCTTGGTTACAGCGGTGATATTGATGGTTTACAGCTGCGGTGATGATGGGTACAGAAATGATCATGTTGAATTGCAGGTGCGGTCAATGTAAGTGCTTCTGCGGTCATAACACAGCAGCGCCCATACTAAAACGGTCAGTACAACAGCGCTCACTCACAAAACAGCGGTTACCACAGCAGCACACTCATAGTGCTCACAACAGCGGTCGGTACAGCAGCACTCACAAACGGTAGTTCAGCACGCTAGCTCACCACAGCGGTCATGACAACAACGCTTACACAACAACGGTTCAGGAAACAAAAGCGGCCGTGACAACAGCACTCACTAACAGCGGTCATGACAGCAGCATTCACACAACAACGGTCAGGGAAACAAAAGCGGTCATGACAGCAGCATTACACAACAACGGTCGGAAACAAAGCGGTCATGACAGCAGCATTCACACAACAGCGGTCAGGAAACAAAAGCGGTCATGACAGCAGCATTCACACAACAACGGTCAGGAAACAGAAGCGTCAGACAACTCACACAACAGCGGTCATGACAGCAGCATTCACACAACAGCGGTCGTGACAAAAGCACTTCAACAGCGGTCGCGATAACAACCACTCACACAACAGCGGTCATGACAGATCAGTCGTCATAACAACAGCGGTTAAGTCGTAACAGTAACTCATGACACAACAGCGGTTCATGACATTAACAGCGGCGAGGAGCGAACAGCAGTCGGGAAGAAACTTGGATATTCGTTGCTGTGTCACACTACAACAGCGGGCAGGGTGGAGGAAACAGCGGCGACACAGCGCTTCAACACCGCCAATGCCAAGACCCAGGAGAACGACCATCACGGCGCCGCTATCATCACTACACCAGCAGGAGGAGGTCGTCCCCGTCAGGATAAGAACATGAGACTGACTCACTCGGTTCAACGAAAATATTTACAGGATGTACGATTTTCTGCCCATTAAATTTAACATATCCGGAGTTGACGGAGGTTACGGTACAGTATACAACTTGTTGATGAAGTACAGTACAGGAAGTTTGTATTTGATATTTTGTAATTTAGGTAAGTTAACGTATAGATCGTAGAAAATTACCTTTAGTTCAATTTCTTAGGGAGTTTTGAATTAGATTTAGTGAAGTGATGTGTTATGAGATCTGTGAAATTGTTGACGTATCGAGGCACAACACGAGGTCCGTGGCTCCCTGTCGGAGAAAAAATATAATAATTGAAACGTTAAAGAAGACGCCAGTTTAACACTCACCAAAATTCATCTTGGAAGAGAGTGGTTAATATCCTGTGTTGCCGTGAGAAGATGAGCGGCAGTAGACGATGCGACGACGGTGTATAGGTAGACCAGGTCGGTCACACAGTAGTGTCTGGCAGCCTCACCACACAGGCCACTTCCACCACACTGACACCCTCTACCCTAGTCCCACCACCGCCCTGGTACGTGGCTCCGGCCTCTATTACCAGAATCAGATGGTACAAACCCAATATGGTCTTCCCTTATCAAATCATTGCCTCCTTTCCATGTGCAAACACGGAAGGCGGCCACTCAAAACTGCCGGCGCAGGCGTAGCAGTGCCGGGTGCCGCCAGCTGATTGGTGGGCGGGGCTGAGGCGCGCGCTCATTGGTCGCTCGCCCGCTAATGAGGGGAGTGATCGCTGTGGTTGGGGGAAACAAGGGAATCTGTATCTTTGTTGACTGTACGATAATGTGTCGTTTACGATCCTGCTCACTACATCTAATGTGTATTATTTCATCACAAGTTTTGTTGTATTCATCATTATGTGCTCACGCCAACACGATATAACGTGATCAATAAGACCAAGAAGGCCTCAGGGTGCTGGTGGGTGTGCGGGCGACACCTGGCAACTGGTCGATGGAGTTGGTGTGTCGGCATCCCCGAAATGATATTGTCGTGGTTGCCTAACAAGAATGGGCGGCGAAGTCATTGATTTTCGGATGAAATGGAGCAAATCTACAGCCAATACAGGGCGTCATTGTCCCATCAGCGATGTATTATCCCTGCCATTTACGCAATGAATCCCCTTCAATGGCTCAATACCGAAACCTCTGTAAATAAAGCCTGATGATGGGGACGTCTTGAAGCGCCTCAAGTCGTGGCGGGGATCGAGGCAGCCCAGCAGGAGCAGCCGCGACACTCTAACCTAAATGTTTATTGTGTGTGTGGTGCTCAGGGAGTGTAATCTAAGTACCCTATCATATTAACATAATATCTACTTACTGTAAATGAATGAAAGGAATATATGAAGGAGATGTGAGGCCTTGAGAGACACACACACACACACACACACGCTAGCCAGGCACAAAGGGTAGCCGGGGAGGCGCGTTCGAGAGATCATCTTTAGTGTTAATGAGACGGTGGCGATGTAACGTGTTTAGAGCGCCATCACAGCCAGATGAGAATCACGATTTAATTATACTGCAAGGAGGGGGGAGGGAGGAGGAGGAGGGAGAGTGAGGAAGGGGGGACAAGGGAAGTCTACTAGACCAGTTGAAGGAGGAGGAAGGAGATATGAAGGAGGGGTAGGGGAAGGAAGTTGACTTGAGGCAGAGGGGAGAGTCAGGAAGAGAGAGGAACAGGAGGAGGAAGGGGAGGTTAATTTACTTGGAGGAAGAGAAAAGAAGGAGAGGAGGAGGGAGACAACTAAGAAAAAGAAGGGAAGGAAAGAGAGGAGGAGGAAAAAGAGTGGAGATGAGGGTGCCACGTAGAGAGAGTAGTGAAGAGAGAGAGAGAGGCTGTCACTAGCAGTGGGAGAGGAGGTGCCACTATTCTATTACTCTCTACTAGTGGCACTTCTTCACTAGTACCTTCTCTCATTACTGGCACCTCTCTTGGTCAACTAATGGCACCTCTTCACTAGTGGCACCTCTTGGCTCTCTACTAGTGGCACCTTCAACATTAGTTCCCTCTCTACTAGTGGCACTTTCTCTACTAGTGGCACCTTCTCTTGTGGCACTTCAACTAATGGCACCTCTTCAACTAATGGCAGCACCTCTCTACTAGTGCACTCTCTCTCTCTCTCTACTAGTGGCACCTCTCTCACTATGGCACCTCTCTACTAGGCACTTTCTCTACTAGTGGCACCTTCTCTACTAGTGGCACTCTCTCTACTAGTGGCACCTTCTCTACTAGGTGGCACTCTCTTCTACTAGTGGCACTTCTCTCTACTAGTGGCACTCTCTCTATTAGGTGGCACCTTCTCTACTAGTGGCACTTTCTCTCAACTAATGGCACTATCTTCCCTACTAGTGGCACTCTCAATCTAATGGCACTTCTCTATAGTGCACTTTCTATTAATGGCACCTTCTCAACTAATGGCACCTCTCTACTAGTGGCACTTCTCTCATTAGTGTGGCACTTCTCTCTACTAGTGGCACCTTCTCTCTACTAGTGGCACTCTCTCTCAATCATGGCACTTTCTCTACTAGTGGCACTCTTCTACTAGTGGCACCTTCTCTCTACTAGTGGCACTTCTCTCTCACTAGTGGCACTCTATTAGTGGCACCTCTACTAGTGGCACTTCTCTCTCTACTAGTGGCACTCTCTCTCTCTACTAGTGGCACCTCTTCTTACTAGTGGCACTCTCTCTCTACTAGTGGCACCTCTCTACTAGTGGCACTTCTACTAGTGGCACTCTCTCTACTAGTGGCACTCTCTTCAACTAGTGGCACTTCTCTCTACTAGTGGCACCTCTCTCATTAGTGGCACCTCTCTCTCAACTAATGGCACACCAGTAGAGAGAGAACAGAACACATGAATTGTTATGCTGAAAGAAATATAAGAACATACATAGTTTGTTATATTAAGAGAACATTTGAATACGAACAGTTTATAATGTAAATATGAACAGAAGAACACAGTTTGTTATACTGAAAGAGCAATTGAACACACACAGCTTATTATATACAGTAAAACCTCCATATAAAGGACTTCTCTCCATATAGTCCGTTATATGGAGGTTTCACGTCTAATTGACCCTCGATATAACGGACTTTCATCTCGACACACAAGAACTTAACTACACGCACAAAAAAGAACTTAGACACACAAAAAAAGAACTTAGATAAAGAACTTTGACACACAAAGAACTTGACACACACACACACACACACATGCATGCCCAAAATATACTGACAAGAGGGTACAGTAGGAGGTCAAGGTGTGTTGAGTGGGAGGAATGGCTGTTTTAAATGTTTGCATTGACCTGATTTACATGTTGCATCTATTTATGTTGTATTTGTTAAGGTGTATTATATGTGCATGTTTTTTAAGGAGCGAGGTGTAATGTGATGGGCGTGTGTGTGAAGTTTGAGAAATGTGTGTGTGTGTGTGTGTGTGTGTGGAAGTATGCATGTGTGTAAATAATATGTATGTTTGTGTGTGTAAATAGTATGAAGTGTTTGTTTGTGTGTGTGTGTGTGTGTGTGTGTGTTGACGTTATTGAAGCCGATCGTTAATCTGTCAAATAATCTGGTTAAAATCGGATAAAATCTGAGAATATTTGTTCCGCTTTATTTGGTTTATAGATTTCGTTAAACTTGGTATAATCGGCGCTAAATTCGTGTTGAAGCTTAGCGCTGTTCGCGTTATTAGCGCTAGTTGTAATGTTAGCGTAAGACTTGGGGTAATTAGTTGAACTTGTCGTTAATTATAGCTAAACTTTTTTGTGTTTAGCGCTAAATTTTGTAATAATTATTTCTAAACTTTGTATTAATAATCGCTAAACCTTTTCACTAATAATCGCTAACATTTTCACTAATAATCGCTAACCTTTCAATAATAATCTAACCTTTCACTGATAACGCTAACCTTTCACTGTAATTGCTAACTTTTTCAATTAATAATCGCTAATGTTTGATTAATAATCGCTAACCTTTTCATTAATAATCGCAACTTTCACAATCGCTAATCTTTCATTAATAATCACTAACCTTTTCATTAATAATCGCTAAACCTTTTCAAATATTAGCGATAAAATTTATGATTAAGCGCAATATATCTCTTGATAGCGCTAAAATTATCATCAACAATTACCGCTTATTTGATCAATATTCATCACGGGATTAAATTGTAATCCTCTTAAGTATTCCGTAAGTTACTGATAATTCACACTGAACCCCGTTGATAATTTCGATAAATTACTCTAAAATCACTGATGATTCATTGTCACTACATTCCCCAACTGATAATTCCTGCTAAGCTTTGATAATTCCTCAAACTTGATAATTCGCCAACTCGATAATTCCTGCTAAACTCTGATAATTCGTCAGCTCTGATAACCCCTGATACTCTGCCAAACTCCTGATGTTCACAAATCATACCTAAACTTTGATAACCCTTGCTAAACTTGATAATTCGACTTAATATAACTCCTCTAAACTTTGATAACTAACGCTACACTTTGATAATTCATTGACAAATTGCGTTTAACTCATGATAATTCACGCTAAACCATTTGATAATCGGCTCCTAAGTAGTTATCAGTCACTAAATTATCGTCGTCAGCCTGCACTAATCTCTCGCTTAATTCGGTCTAATATGACTCACTGTTAATCCTCCCTAATCCTATTGATGGTGCGGGAGGAGGTATGGTGTACAGATGGTGTGGTGGTGTGAAGGGATGGTGTGGTAATTAATGTGAGGTGGTGGCAAACAGTGCGAGGATGGTGTATGGTAGTGTGTAGGGATGGTGTGAGTAGTGTAGGGATGGTGTGTGAGTGGTGTACAGATGGTGTGGTGGTGTGAAGGGATGGTGTGGTGGTGTAGGGGATCAGGTGTGGTGATGTAGGGATAGTGTGGTGGTGTAGGTTGTGTGTGTAGTGTAGGGTGGTGTGGTGTTGTAGGGATGGTGTGGTGCTGTAGGGATGGTGTGGTGCTGTAAGGGGATGGTGTGGTGGTGTAGGGATGGTGTGGTGGTGTGGGGATGGTGTGGTGTAGGGATGGTGTGGTGGTGTACAGATGGTGTGGTGCTGTAGGGATGGTGTGGTGGTGTAGGGATGGTGTGGTGGTGTAGGGATGGTGTGGTGGTGTAGGGATGGTGTGGTGGTGTAGGGATGGTGTCCTTAACTACTATGTATACTGTTTACAACCTAATAACATCATCTCACAATCCATTACACGGGTTGTATGTTATATTTTTACAACCTATACGACTTAACAAACCTCAAAGTTATTATCTGAAGGTGTTTAGTAAGTTATTAATGTGTTAGGTTAATGTTAGTGATAGTCTTTCTTTTTTCACATTATCGGGAGTTTGGTTAGGTTAGGTTAGGTTAGCTTTAGGTTAGGTTAAGTTATAATTGGTTAGGTTAGCGTTAGGTTATGGTAGCTTTACTTTAGCATTAAGTTAGATTAAGTTAGGTTAGGTTCGCGTTAGGTTATGGTAGCTTTACGTT